AAGCAATTGTTCTGTGATAAAAATCTGAATACTGCGCTGAGACTGAGGTTTGTTGAATGTTACGTCTGGTCCCAACTATTGTATGGGGTAGAAACATGGACGTTAAAAGCGCAAATAGTTAAAAAGCTTGAAGCCTTTGAACTTTGGATATACCGGAGAATGTTGAGAATTCCATGGACTGCCAGGGTCACCAATGAGGAAGTGCTGAGGAGGATGGGTCGAGACAAAAAATTGTTGAGAACAATAAAAGTACGCAAGACTGCATACCTTGGATACATACTGAGGAATGATAAATATAGTCTTCTGCATTTTTTTATTTTGTTTAAACTCTTATCAATACCAAATAACTTCAACGATCTAACGTAATCTAACCGTATTCGTTCATAAAAATCTGATCACTAACTGAAATTGGCAAAAATAAATGCATGTTTTTTACATGTTCCTCTTACCTTGGAGAACAACTGCTCACTGATGTAAATGCTTTATTAAATATTAAACTCTGTCGGGCCAACCTATCCAGATTTGGGGTTTGGCATATTTTGTTGCGATATACTCCCATTTCAAAACCTCCATCGTCAGCTGCAAAAATAAATTGCAAACATTTAGTAATGAGGTGCAATTAAACATTAAGGAAAATAAATTAAATAAATAATTTTTTACTGAAAAATAAAAGCTGTTTTATTAATATTAATATATATATATATATATTATATATATATATATATATATATATATATATATATATATATATGTGTAATCTTGCCGATACGTCAGCAATGATTTTTCAAAAAACCAAAACTATTTAACGCGGAGTCAAACCCAGAAAACAACTGAAAGTGTCTACGAATCTAAGAATTGGAGACAAATTTTGTCTTGGGCCTCAATAATACACTATTTGTCATATTTAGACAGATGTTTATTATAAAAAAAAATATTTTACAGGGTGGTCAAAATATTAGATTGTTCTATAAACAAATTCAAGCTGCAATTACGTACCTTTTTATTTTAAATAAAATTCCTATATTTTATTAGTTTGTCATGTGGAAAATTTACTTGCATTCAATCTATATTAAGGTTTCCTATACCTATCTCCCTTCGCTTTTGAAATATTTTAAGATCTACTAATGTGTAAGCTTTAATAATTATAAACAAGTATGACGTGGTACATATCACCAAAAATCGGCGATATATCTAGCCTAGATATTGTTAACAATAACATTTAAATTTTATCATTTTTTTACATAGGACATTTTATTATTTTAGTGAAATTTGACCGTATCTATTCGCTCCGTTCGTGACTGACGCGACACCTACCGTCTTCGTCTGAAAGTTTTGGACCTCCCAATTTAAGATTAAACGTATGTTAAATACATACGAAATTGACAATTATTAATAATTAGTTTTTTAATAATATTTTTTCAGTTTATCTACAAATAAATGTAGTATTTAAAACTGAGTTTCTAAAAATGCATTATAATCTATCTTTTCAATCCCAAACAGAAAAGAAAGGGAAAAATCTAGTACTGGCAACTCAAGTTTTTCATGTGGAACAGGATGTAATTAAAAACAATATTAGTAAAAGTTATGATATAAAAGCTAAAGTGATCAGGAAGGCTGCAGCTAGCTTGAAGCCTTATGAAATATCATTTTTTCCTATTTTAATTGCATAAAAATGAACTAATGTGATATTTACTTTTTCATATTAATAACACGAATCCATTTTTCCCGAACACTTTTTTGTTTCTGTAATTTATATGTAATCTATGGAAACCTATATTAAGTACACTCACTATTTTTGCTATTATTAGCACAATTAAATAGGCAACATGTATTTGCACCCATTTTTGATAAAATTTATGTGTAAAAAGATAGGTCCAATTTTGTCATATTTCGCCGCTACGCACGCTGGCATCGTTTCAAGGTACCCCTACCATAGTTACGCACGGAGCGAATACCGTATTCCAGAAGACATTTATATTTTCTAGACTAGGAAAAAAATGCCTTAATTGGTGATTTGATTTTTTTCTAAAAATGTACCAAATGAATTGCAATTCTATAAAAAGCTATATAAACATTTCGAAAATCTATTGAACCACGAAGACTCCAATAATGAACTAGACAGCACTGAAGCAAATGCACATGAGAACCAAAATCAAAACGAAATAAAAACAGATGAAATAAGAGAAATAATATACAAGCACCCAATAAGTAGGTTAAACACATACGAATGACTCTGAAGGGTTCCAAAGCTATGCTGAGAATAGATGGAGATATGACGCAGGCCTTTGATATTGAAAATGGAGTTAGACAAGGTGATGCTTTATCAACAACACTTTTTAATCTAACTTTAGAAGCTGTTGTTAGAAAATTGGATATAAACATATATATATATATATATATATATATATATATATATATATATATATATATATATACGAAAGCAAAACAAAATATATGGAGTGCACAAAATCGAATCAACATGAGAATCTAAAGGTAGACAACCATAACAACATCAGTCAAGACATACAAGCACGGATTCTTAGCGGTAATAAGTGCTTTTATGCATACAAAGGCTTAATGAAAAGTAATTTACTGAATCGTGAGTCTAAGCTTAGAATCTACAAAACAGTAATTAGACCAGTGGTCACATATGGATGTGAAACGTGGATCCTCTCAACCACTGATGAAAATCAACTGAGAATATTTGAGCGCAAAATAGAAGAAACTTATTTGGACCAACTCAATGAAGCGATGGTTCGTGGAGAATTAAAATGAACCACGAGATGGATAAACTAACGGAGAGCGCAGATATTGTTAGATTTGTAAAGTCACAAAGACTAAACTGGCTTGGTCACCTAGAAAGAATGCCAGATAATCGAGTTGTAAAAGTAGTCCAGGGATGGAAGCCCCAAGGAAACAGAACAAGAGGAAGGCCCCGTAAAAGATGGATAGACGACGTAGAGAAGGATCTTAAAACCATGAACATCAGGCAGTGGCGAAGGAAAGTATCCGACAGGGCAGAATGGAAGAACATTGTTAAGCAGGCCAAGACTCACAGAGGGTTGTAGCACCATTAGAAGAAGAAGAAGAAGAAGAATATACAAGCTTAAAAGAGGAAAAGCAGCTGGCTATCATAAGATAACCACGGAAATGCTAAAAAATATGGGAGAAATGGAAATTAAATGCTCAGAAAAGTTTGCAATACAGCATGAATTGAGAACAAGATCCCAAAAGAGTGAGAAGTGGGGGGTTATTGTATCCATATTCAAACACGAAGACAGACGAGACTGCAGCAACTACAGATGTATAACCCTACTGAGTATCCCTTCCAAAGTATACGAACGAGTACTGGAGAAAATATTACTACAAGAAGTGGACCATAAACTAAAGCAGTCACAGAGCGGATTTAAGAAGGAAAGAAACATATTTTCATACCTACTCATACAAGACCATATTTTCACACTAAAACACGGAACTATTCCAAGCCTTTATAGACCTGCAAAAACATTTGACCAAACCCAGCAGATAGAAATCGACAAACGTCTAATGAACAGGGGAGTAAACACCAAACTCAGAAAAGCTATTATGAGGTTATATAAAAACACAAGAAACAGAGTAAGAACAGATAATATGGAATCCGACGAGTTTAGAGCAAATGATGTCTTACGACAAGGAGGTGTACTATGCCCCATCCTGTTTAATATTCTACTAGATGATGTAATGAAGGCAACCAGAGAAGAAACATTGAAAATATATATTGGACATAAAAACCTGGAAATAATACCGATAGTAGAATTCCCATTTGCAGATGATCACGTTGTTTTTGGAAGAGACGAGTACGTACTCAAGAGAAACCCCCAAATATGTAGCGATAAACTTAAAAAAACGTAAAATGAGTATTAACGAAAGTAAAATTAAGGTAATGATATGTGGAAAAACAGATAATTTTATTTTTAAAATTACAACTGATCTTTTGGGTCATTCTTTATTTATAAAATAATAAATTTTAAAAAAATAAAATTTAAAAAATGCGGTTTAATATAAATATAATTTGCAGTTTTCTTTTGTAAAAGTAGCTTGGTGAACACAAACAAAATTTTAAAGTACCCGCCTGGTTGTTCCATCAATAAGTGACAACGTCAATCGTCGAATAAAACAAGAGGCCGGGCGGGCCGGCATCAAGGCCACGATCAAGGCATCATACACGCCATCTAAGTAGATCTTTTGTTTCTTACCGTAAAAATTATAATTAAAAAAATGTAGTAAAACTTTCCTTACCCAAAATAACTAAAGCATTTAATTTTTTTGGTGTAATAGTACAGTCTATTTGTATTAAACAACACCCTAATATTATCCAAAAGTACATTATCCTACTTTTTTTAACAAAAATGTTGAACAAACACTGTTGCCAGTTTGTTAGTTGTTACCGATACTGTGCCGTTACTGCGTTACTCTTACTTTGTAAGAAATTATACTCGATGGAAATTATCAAGGAATGCTTATTATGGGTTAAAAGTAAAATAGATTTATATTAACATAAGATAATTGATAGTGAGCAAATAAAAGTAACATGAAAATAAGTATTTTTCAAAGCCACCTCTACTTCATATTTTATATAAATTTATTTTTCAGGCAACATTGTTAATCTTTAATTTGCACGTATGGATGACATATATTGTATACCATATTCTAACACAAATCTTTTAAATAATGGTATCGTTTTAATGATGAGAAATAACAGATAATACTTATATTATAAATTACAATATAGATATTTATAACTTATATTTTCAAATTATTGTACAGAGAATAGCAAATAGTTTCTTATTCTGTGCTTAAATATAAATTGTGGCGCCCTCTAGCTTTGTTTGTTTATTCTCGCAGAGATGCCAGAGATCTCTGATTCTTTTTCCTTCCTGTTAGGTTAGTTAGACATATCACCAGGAATTAGTATTTCAGTGACTTGTGTTTTTTTGCCCAAGTTGGAAGCCATTTGAGGGAACGAAGAAGAAAATCGCTCTAAAATTGTAATTTTTGAAATATAGTTATTAAACAGAAAACATAGTGAAATATTTTGAAACAATAATTATATAATAAAATGACAGAAGCCTGGACTATTTAAATACGTTTTTCAACGCCTCGAGAAGGGAGCAAAATGGGTACACAGCTTTTAAAGTGTCCTTTATGTTGTAATGAACATTTTTCTTCCCGTCAGGACTTAAAGTGTCACATAACTGAGTTGTTAAATAGTTTGTCTTGTCCAGTTTGTACTTCAACTTTTAATAGTGTTATTGAATTATCAGAACACCTAGATACAGAATGTGAACTTAGTGAAGGAGTAAGTAACCAAAATGAAGATGAAAGTGTTTCTGAAATCCATGAGCATTCAGAACAAATGTTGATTCAACTTGACGAAACACAACAAGAACCTACAAATGAACATGTAGAAATGGTTAATGATGATACTCAGCAGATCGAATTTATTGAAAGTGAGGATATTGCTGAAGAAGTGGAGGAGAATGGCAATGTTATTTATGAGTGTGAAGTTTGTAAAGTTCAATTTAACTCAATTAAAAACCATTTAAAAGAGTACCATGCTGGAGAAGATGTTGTGCTGGTAAGTAAAAAATAATCACCTTTAGAATAGATGAACTGTAAATATTTAATATATTACAATATGCGGCTGGATAAGTTTTGAGTTGTTTTAGTTATAACTTCTTCCTATAATATTATGTTATAAAAATCATTGTATCTTTTGATAATTGTCTTCCAAGAGCTACAATAGACTACAAGGTTGGAGTGGAAGAGTGGATAAGTGCCCATTCATAGACATATAATACCTAGACTGGGTGCTGCAATACAGATCTGTTCCCCAGTATGACAGAGAAAAATGATGCCAACTGTTCCTGCATCTCTTTCGAACTGGCTGGGTTTATTGTCCATGTGACTTTCCCACTATAGTCTCCAAATACAAGAGGGGTAGCAACTTAAATATAACTTAAATGTTTGGCCTAAAATAGAGAAATAGCAACATGGAATTGTCTTTGCTTTTGGACATGGATAATCAGCATTGGATTCTTCTACCAATTTTTCCTTTTTTCTTTCTTTTTATTTTAATCCATATTGAATTTATTTAATATTATTAAATCTGTAAGTAATTCTTGCAAATAGTAAATGTGTGTATCCTTAAAAATGTAAAAGGCAACTGAACTTACTATTATTAAGTATGTATTACCATTGCGATTATAATTATTTGGATGACATCATTACTAATTATAATGAGCAGTATAGAGAACAAAAAAGTAGACAATACATACTTATTGGTTTAATAATAAATAATGCTAAAGTTTTACTTAGCATGATTCAACCTTTTTTTTAAGATCATTTAGCATTATCATATTTTCATAAAAATATAAAAATATTTATTTTCAATGGGCTGTTGCCCAATAAGATAGTTATATTCTAATATACTTGTTTAAAAGAAATTTTCAATGTAGATAGACAGAATATATCTTTATTTCAAATAGGTAACCTAATGTACAAAAAAAAGTTCTAACTTAACTAAATTTTTTACATATAAACAAAAAAAATCAATCAACAACAAATTGAAATCTGTTAGCATGATTCAACTTTTTTTTTAAGATCATTTAGCATTATCATATTTTCATCAAAATATAAAACTATTTATTTTCAATGGGCTGTTGCCCAATAAGATAGTTATATTCAAATATACTTATTTAAAAGAAATTTTCAATGAAGATAGACAGATATCTTTATTTCAAATAGGTAACCTAATGCACAAAAAAAGTTCTAACTTAACTAAATTTTTTACATATAAACAAAAAAAATCAATCAATAACAAATTGAAATCAAAAAGTCAATAAAAATATACAAGAATATTGTGTATATTCACTGCCAGTTCCAATATGACTTTATATTCCTAAGGAAAACCTTTAACTTATTCTCAAAATCAATAACAAAGTGCAATCAATTCAACAACTAAAAAAAGTCAATAAAAATATTGTATAATATATGAAGACTACAGGGAAAAAACCAGATATGTCAAAATTTCATAAAACCGAGAAAAACGTATATTTAACTTTCAAAACCATAATGTGTCTTACGTTGGAACGTATAAAAAAAATTTGGAGGTCAAAATTGTTCCATAAAAACACATGAACGGCATTGTACTGTTTTAATTCAAAAAATGTGTAACATTCTTTAAAAATCCAGAAAATTCTTGTCAACCGCAATTTGTCCATTGAAAGAATCAGCATAGTCACCTGAAACAGAAAATTGTCAATGCTTTCAATAATGAAAATAGGTTTCATTTTGGTTAGTATTTCTATTGTGAATGATAGGCAATAATAAATACAGTAAAACCTGTCAATAATAGTCACTAAAAATGACAGAACTATTGGCCATATAAATAGGTGGCCGCTAATTCCAGGTTTTGTACTCCACAAATTTTGGTTTGAGGAACTTTGAAACGGCAGACTAGTACAAGTGGCCAGTTTTGACAGGTGGCCGTTAACACAGGTTTTACTGTAACACAGCTTGTTAAAGATCCCTACCTCTGGTTGGAACACCAGGGCATTTATCAAAATTTTCTGTTGGTGGAAGCGTGCTCCGGGCGTCGGTGATTAGTCTTAATCATAGAAATAGATTGACGCCGAAGTTAAATAAAATAAAAAAAAATAATTATATTGATAATTTTTCGACTGTTCTAACAACCATTCAAATTTCGTCATTTTGTGTCATGTGGAACAATTTCACCCAATCATGTCAATATTAGACTGATAATTGCATTCAGTGCAATTTTCAATCCCTATGACAACACGATCGAGTTTGACAACTTCATCCAAATAAATTTCAAAATGTCACGTTTCGGCAATGAGAATGTTCAAAGTATAAATGCGCTAATCAAAGAAAAAATTCCCAGAAATACAACCTACAGTCACAAATATATTTGGGGAATATTCATGGAATTTTGTCGAAAAATTATCATATATATCATATAATAATATAAATTTCTCAAGCTCGTTGCTTGGTAACAGGCGTTGTTAACGTTGTTACCAAGGAACGAGCTTTCGATTGTCATGAAATTATCTCGTCTGTTATTAATGTCTTAGGGATATTACTACTGATAATTTACCTGTTACGAGTGATTATAAAGTAAGACGGGAAAAAGTCCACAGCTGCAGGACCAAAGAATCTCATAAGGCTTATGTAATCGGTGTGGTTGGCTTTTGAAATTGCGAGGGGTCCTGAAACAACATACAGGATATAATATTAAAATTTCTTGTGATACCTTATACCTTACCTGAGTAGGCTGGTAATAATAATTCAAATTCTCCATTCTTCAACTCTGTAGTTGTTGAGGTCATTCGTTTCTTCAAGATGCTTGACAAGAATGGTCCATTGTAAGAAGATCGATGGTTTATGAGTCGACTGTGCTCTGATGTGGCACTAACCTTTTTCAAAACCTGAGTTTTAAAAGGGCATTTTGGAACATACTTTTTGTATAAAAATGATTTCCAGTCCAAAACTATATTTCGTGTTACTTTCACGACGATTAATGGAGACGGCTTTACGCGGGTAAAGCCTTACTTATCATGTCTCTAAACTCTTTTGGTATTTCAAAAGGCGTTTTTAGATTCCACAGTCCAACATTCTTGTCACACTCTAAGTATGAATATCCACGGACAAGATACGTAATTTTTATTTCACGAAGCTCATGGATTTCGTTGTTCACGATATAATGTATGAATCGGAATATTGTAAAATTTTTGTTTTGTCCTGCAGCTGAGTCACAAAAAAAATTTAATTCCTCAACTTCATCATCCGAAAAGTTATTAATAAAATGTAGTAAAAACGATGCCACCTCATTGTAAAATGTTTTGGCAGATCCCTCGTAAGAGTAAAAAATTGATTAACCAGACGACAAGACGTCAACATTAAAAGTGTACATTGATAGCTGGCGCTTATAGTACACGTCGTTGGTTGCAATATTTGGGATTGGTAAATTCTTACAAAATTGTATATTGCAAAATCAATACAAATTGCTTCCATTTTTTTCTTTCCTCTGCTGGTTCTTCTTGCTTCCCTTCTTCGTGAATAGAATGCCTCAGTCTTTTAGTAGTATCGGTGCGCGGATACCCGAAAGATATGTTAAACTCCTGTACAAAAATACACCAGTACGTTTCGTACGATAAGTGAACATTTGGATTTTTTGCTTGAAATAGAGAATACATTTTTATTACATTTTGTTTCACAACAATATTCACAAATGTTTGTTCTTACAAAAAAAACTTTCTATTAATGAAACACGCATTGTTTAATAATATTTTTTAAATTAATCCAACGCTATCTACCGTGAAACTTGTGACATATCTGGTTCTTTTACTAGACGCATGGACAAAGCTGGTTTTTTCTCGGTAACCCGAAACTTTGAAGTGTTATTACTCCTGACAAGACTACGTTTTGCCCTGTACGATAGCTCTAAAATGTGCTTCTTCACGTATTCTAATAACATACAATGGAAATCTGAAATTTGAAAAAAAAAATGACATGTCTGGTTTTTTCCCTGTAGTCTTCATATGTTCTCTATCAATTCAAATATTACTTTATATTTTTAAGGAAAACCTTTAATTTATCTGTCCTACAGTCTTTTAATTCATTAGGCAATTCATTAAATTCTTTGAAACCTCTAAATATTAATGAATTCATTAATTAATGCTTTAATTCATTTTAGAAAAGTATATGTCATTTTTATTTCTCATCATATCTTTGTATATTAGGAAAATTAATAAATTACTGAAAATAATTGGGTGCCACATTGTTTTCAATCATTGAAATCATTGATATACTGAAAATCAGTTCAATGTATTCAGCATTAAATTTATTGATGCTAATCCGCCCATTCTTAATATTATATACATACCACAATTTTGTAATTTCTGAAGTTGCCCCATTTTATTTATGTTTCTAGTTTCTAAGGATATTTTTTTGCTAGTATTGTAAAAAAGTATAATAATCTCTTGCTGATGTTTTTTGTGTATGTTCTAACGACTATTTTGCTTACCTCAGGGTAAGGACATGGGGTAGAAGATTGGGCAAACAAAATAAATCGAAACAAGTGCGTACGACACTTGGGTGTTGGAGAGCTGGGTCGTGGATAAGTTGAAGATATTGGGGTTGGATTGGGGCAACTACAAAAAAGGAAATAAAGGGGTACTTATACAAATCTCTTGGGACAAACGACATGAAAATAAACAGGAAACACCTAAAGGAATTTAATATAGGGCGCCACTTGAAGTGCCTAATTATACCTATTACAACCACTAGTTGTAACTAGGGAAATAATTATAAAACATCGAAAACATATCTTTTTCAAATAGAACTCAAAAAATAATAAACAAAATGTTAGAAAACAAAATTTAACATTTATTTTTGTGTCACCACAAACAATTACAACATGGAGAAATACAAGAATATATTATACAACATAATCCAAATTAATAAAAACTTACATGTTCTTTGTTTACATAAGAGATTGCTACAAAAATTTTAAATGGTTTCTAGGTTATAATATGGCCAATTTAGATTATCAAAATT